GCCCCAAGTTGGGCGCTGCATTTTTTACTGATCTCTTCCTATGTTACACGGATTGTTTTCCAATCTTCCTTCGCCTTCCTCTTTTTCGCTCTGTGACTTAAGCTTTATGACCATGAACGCACGAGATGACGCAAACTGAAACGGGTACTGTCCGCCCGGCTAGCTCAGTCGGTAGAGCATGAGACTTTTAAACTGAGGGTCGTGGGTTCGAGCCCCACGTTGGGCGCTGCATTTTTTACTGATCTGTTCCTATGTTACACGGATTGTTTTCCAATCTTCCTTCGCCTTCCTCTCTTTCGCTCTGTGACTTAAGCTTTCTGACCATGAACGCACGAGATGACGCAAACTGAAACGGGTACTGTCCGCCCGGCTAGCTCAGTCGGTAGAGCATGAGACTTTTAATTACAGGGTCATGGATTCGAGCCCCACGTTGGGCACTGCATTTTTTACTGATCATTTCCCATGTTACACGGATTGTTTTCCAATCTTCCTTCGCCTTCCTCTCTTTCGCTCTGTGACTTAAGCTTTCTGACCATGAACGCATGGGATGACGCAAAACTGAAACGGGGACTGTCTGCCCGCTAGCTCAGTCGGTAGAGCATGAGACTATTAATCTCAGGGTCGTGGGTTCGAGCCCCACGTTCGGCGCTGAATTTTTCACTGATCTGTTCCCATGTTACAGGAATTGTTTTCCACTCTTTCTTTGCCTTCCTCTCCTTCGCTCTTTGATTGAAGCTTTCTGACCATGAACACACGGGGTGAAGCAAACTTAAACGATTGCTGTTTGCCCGGCTAGCTCAGTTGGTAGAGCATGAGACTTTTAATCTCAGAGTCGTTGGTTCAAGCCCCAAGTTGGGCGCTGCATTTTTGTACTTATCTGTTCCCATGTTACACGGATTGTTTTCCAATCTTCCTTCGCCTTCCTCTTTTTCGCTCTGTGACTTAAGCTTTCTGACTATGAACGCACGGGATGACGAAAACTGAAACGGGTACTGTCTGCCCGGCTAGCTCAGTCGGTAGAGCATGAGACTTTTAATCTCAGGGTCGTGGGATTCAAGCCCCACGTTTGGCGCTGCACTTTTTTATTGATCTGTTCCACGGATTGTTCTCCGATCTTTCTTCGCCTTCCTCTCCTTCGCTCTTTGTCCTAAACTTTCTGACCATGAACGCATGGGGTGACGCAAACTGAAACAGGGGCGGTCTGGCCGGCTAGCTCAGTCGGTAGAGCATGAAACCTTTATTCTCAGGGTCGTGGGTTCGAGCCCCACGTTGGGCGCTGAATTTTTCACTGATCTATTCCCATGTTACAGGAATTGTTTTCCACTCTTTCTTTGCCTTCCTCTCCTTCGCTCTTTGATTTAATCTTTCTGACCATGAACACACGGGGTGAAGCAAACTGAAACGATTGCTGTCTGCCCGGCTAGCTCAGTTGGTAGAGCATGAGGCTTTAATCTCAGAGTCGTGGGTTCAAGCCCTAAGTTGGGCGCTGCATTTTTTTACTGATCTGTTCCTATGTTACACGGATTGTTTTCCAATCTTCCTTCGCCTTCCTCTTTTCGCTCTGTGACTTAAGCTTTCTGACCATGAACGCACGGATGACGAAAACTGAAACGGGTGCTGTCTGCCCGACTAGCTCAGTCGTAGAGCATGAGACTTTTAATCTCAGAGTCGTGGGTTCGAGCCCAAGTTGGGGCGCTGCATTTTTTATGATCTATTCCTATGTTACACGGATTGTTTTCCATCTTCCTTCGCCTTCTCTCTTCGCTCTTGTACTTAAGCTTTCTGACCATGACGCACGAGATGACGCAACTGAAACGGGTACTGTCCGCCCGTCTAGCTCAGTCCGGTAGAGCATGAGACTTTTAAATCTGCAGGGTCGTGGGTTCGAGCCCCACGTTGGGCGCTGAATTTTTTCACTGATCTGTTCCCATGTTACACGGATTGTTTTCCATCTTCCTTCGCCCTTCCTCTTTTCGCTCTGTGACTTAGCTTTCTGACCATGAACGCACGGGATGACGAAAACTGAAACGGGTACTGTCTGCCCGGCTAGCTCAGTCGGTAGAGCATGAGTCTTTTAATCTCAGGGTCGTGGGTTCGAGCCCCACGTTGGGCGCTGCATTTTTTACTGATCTGTTCCTATGTTACACGGATTGTTTTCCAATCTTCCTTCGCCTTCCTCTCTTTCGCTCTGTGACTTAAGCTTTCTGACCATGAACGCACGAGATGACGCAAACTGAAACGGGTACTGTCCGCCCGGCTAGCTCAGTCGGTAGAGCATGAGACTTTTAATCTCAGGGTCGTGGATTCGAGCCCCACGTTGGGCACTGCATTTTTTACTGATCATTTCCCATGTTACACGGATTGTTTTCCAATCTTCCTTCGCCTTCCTCTTTTTCGCTCTGTGACTTAAGCTTTCTGACCATGAACGCACGGGATGACGAAAACTGAAACGGGTACTGTCTGCCCGGCTAGCTCAGTCGGTAGAGCATGAGACTATTAATCTCAGGGTCGTGGGTTCGAGCCCCACGTTCGGCGCTGCATTTTTTACTGATCTGTTCCTATGTTACACGGATTGTTTTCCAATCTTCCTTCGCCTTCCTCTCTTTCGCTCTGTGACTTAAGCTTTCTGACCATGAACGCACGAGATGACGCAAACTGAAACGGGTACTGTCCGCCCGGCTAGCTCAGTCGGTAGAGCATGAGACTTTTAATCTCAGGGTCGTGGGTTCGAGCCCCACGTGTGGCGCTGCATTTTTTTACTGATCTGTTCCCATGTTACACGGATTGTTTTCCAATCTTCCTTCACCTTCCTCTTTTTCGCTTTGTGACTTAAGCTTTCTGGCCATGAACGCACGGGATGACGAAAACTGAAACGGGTACTGTCTGCCCGGCTAGCTCAGTCGGTAGAGCATGAGACTTTTGAATCTCAGGGTCGTGGATTCAAGCCCCACGTTTGGCGCTGCACTTTTTTATTGATCTGTTCCACGGATTGTTCTCCGATCTTTCTTCTCCTTCCTCTCCTTCGCTCTTTGACATAAACTTTCTGACCATGAACGCATGGGGTGACGCAAACTGAAACAGGGGCGGTCTGCCCGGCTAGCTCAGTCGGTAGAGCATGAAACATTTATCTCAGGGTCGTGGGTTCGAGCCCCACGTTGGGCGCTGAATTTTTTCACTGATCTGTTCCCATGTTACAGGAATTGTTTTCCAATCTTCCTTCGCCTTCCTCTCTTTCGCTCTGTGACTTAAGCTTTCTGACCATGAACGCACGGGATGAAGCAAACTGAAACGGGTACTGTCTGCCCGGCTAGCTCAGTTGGTAGAGCATGAGGCTTTTGATCTCAGAGTCGTTGGTTCAAGCCCGAAGTTGGCCGCTGCATTTTTTACTGATCTCTTCCTATGTTACACGGATTGTTTTCCAATCTTCCTTCGCCTTCCTCTCTTTCGCTCTGTGACTTAAGCTTTCTGACCATGAACGCACGGGATGACGAAAACTGAAACGGGTACTGTCTGCCCGGCTAGCTCAGTCGGTAGAGCATCAGACTTTTAATCTCAGGGTCGTGGGTTCGAGCCCCACGTTGGGCGCTGCATTTTTTTACTGATCTGTTCCTATGTTACACGGATTGTTTTCCAATCTTCCTTCGCCTTCCTCTCTTTCGCTCTGTGACTTAAGCTTTCTGACCATGAACGCACGAGATGACGCAAACTGAAACGGGTACTGTCCGCCCGGCTAGCTCAGTCGGTAGAGCATGAGACTTTTAATCTCAGGGTCGTGGGTTCGAGCCCCACGTTGGGCGCTGCATTCTTTTACTGATCTGTTCCCATGTTACACGGATTGTTTTCCAATCTTCCTTCGCCTTCCTCTTTTTCGCTCTGTGACTTAAGCTTTCTGACCATGAACGCACGGGATGACGAAAACTGAAACGGGTACTGTCTGCCCGGCTAGCTCAGTCGGTAGAGCATGAGACTTTTAATCTCAGGGTCGTGGGTTCAAGCCCCACGTTGGGCGCTGAATTTTTTCACTGATCTGTTCCATGTTACACGGAATTGTTTTCCAATCTTCCTTCGCCTTCCTCTCTTTCGCTCTGTGACTTAAGCTTTTGACCATGAACGCACGGGATGACGAAAACTGAAACGGGTACTGTCTGCCCGGCTAGCTCAGTCGGTAGAGCATCAGACTTTTAATCTCAGGGTCGTGGGTTCGAGCCCCACGTTGGGCGCTGCATTTTTTACTGATCTGTTCCTATGTTACACGGAATTGTTTTCCACTCTTTCTTCGCCTTCCTCTCCTTCGCTCTTTGATCTAAGCTTTCTGACCATGAACACCGAGGGTGACGCAAACTGAAACTAGTGCTGTCTGCCCGGCTAGCTCAGTCGGTAGAGCATGAGACTTTTAATCTCAGAGTCGTGGTTCAAGCCCCACGTTGGGCGCTGCATTTTTGTACTTATCTGTTCCTCATGTTACACGGATTGTTTTCCAATCTTCCCTCGCCTTCCTCTTTTTCGCTCTGTGACTTAAGCTTTCTGACCATGAACGCACGAGATGACGCAAACTGAAACGGGTACTGTCCGCCCGGCTAGCTCAGTCGGTAGAGCATGAGACTTTTAATCTCAGGGTCGTGGGTTCGAGCCCCACGTTGGGCGCTGCATTTTTACTGATCTGTTCCCATGTTACACGGATTGTTTTCCAATCTTCCTTCGCCTTCCTCTCTTTCGCTCTGTGACTTAAGCTTTCTGACCATGAACGCACGGGATGACGAAAACTGAAACGGGTACTGTCTGCCCGGCTAGCTCAGTCGGTAGAGCATCAGACTTTTAATCTCAGGGTCGTGGGTTCGAGCCCCACGTTGGCGCTGCATTTTTTCACTGATCTGTTCCCATGTTACAGGAATTGTTTTCCAATCTTTCTTCGCCTTCCTCTCCTTCGCTCTTTGACTTAAGCTTTCTGACCATGACACACGGGATGACGCAAACTGAAACGGGTGCTGTCTGCCCGGCTAGCTCAGTCGGTAGAGCATCAGACTTTTAATCTCAGGGTCGTGGGTTCGAGCCCCACGTTGGGCGCTGCATTTTTTTACTGATCTGTTCCTATGTTACACGGATTGTTTTCCAATCTTCCTTCGCCTTCCTCTCTTTCGCTCTGTGACTTAAGCTTTCTGACCATGAACGCACGGGATGACGCAAACTGAAACGGGTACTGTCCGCCCGGCTAGCTCAGTCGGTAGAGCATGAGACTTTTAATCTCAGGGTCGTGGTTCGAGCCCCACGTTGGGCGCTGCATTTTTTACTGATCATGTTCCCATGTTACACGGATTGTTTTCCAATCTTCCTTCGCCTTCCTCTTTTTCGCTCTGTGACTTAAGCTTTCTGACCATGAACGCACGGGATGACGAAAACTGAAACGGGTACTGTCTGCCCGGCTAGCTCAGTCGGTAGAGCATGAGACTTTAATCTCAGGGTCGTGGGTTCGAGCCCCACGTTCGGCGCTGCACTTTTTCACTGATCTGTTCCCATGTTACAGGAATTGTTTTCCAATCTTCCTTCGCCTTCCTCTCTTTCGCTCTGTGACTTAAGCTTTCTGACCATGAACGCACGGGATGACGCAAACTGAAACGGGTACTGTCTGCCCGGCTAGCTCAGTCGGTAGAGCATGCAGACTTTTAATCTCAGGGTCGTGGGTTCGAGCCCCACGTTGGGCGCTGCATTTTTTACTGATCTGTTCCATGTTACACGGATTGTTTTCCAATCTTCCTTCGCCTTCCTCTCTTTCGCTCTGTGACTTAAGCTTTCTGACCATGAACGCACGAGATGACGCAAACTGAAACGGGTACTGTCCGCCCGGCTAGCTCAGTCGGTAGAGCATGAGACTTTTAATCTCAGGGTCGTGGGTTCGAGCCCCACGTTGGGCGCTGCATTTTTTTACTGATCTGTTCCCATGTTACACGGATTGTTTTCCAATCTTCCTTCGCCTTCCTCTTTTCGCTCTGTGACTTAAGCTTTCTGACCATGAACGCACGGGATGACGCAAACTGAAACGGGTACTGTCCGCCCGGCTAGCTCAGTCGGTAGAGCATGAGACTTTTAATCTCAGGGTCGTGGGTTCGAGCCCCACGTTGGGCGCTGCATTTTTTACTGATCTGTTCCCATGTTACACGGATTGTTTTCCAATCTTCCTTCGCCTTCCTCTCTTTCGCTCTGTGACTTAAGCTTTCTGACCATGAACGCACGGAGATGACGCAAACTGAAACGGGTACTGTCCGCCCGGCTAGCTCAGTCGGTAGAGCATGAGACTTTTAATCTCAGGGTCGTGGGATTCGAGCCCCACGTTGGGCGCTGCATTTTTTACTGATCTGTTCCCATGTTACACGGATTGTTTTCCAATCTTCCTTCGCCTTCCTCTCTTTTCGCTCTGTGACTTAAGCTTTCTGACCATGAACGCACGGGATGACGCAAACTGAAACGGGTACTGTCCGCCCGGCTAGCTCAGTCGGTAGAGCATGAGACTTTTAATCTCAGGGTCGTGGGTTCGAGCCCCACGTTGGGCGCTGCATTTTTTTACTGATCTGTTCCTATGTTACACGGATTGTTTTCCAATCTTCCTTCGCCTTCCTCTCTTTCGCTCTGTGACTTAAGCTTTCTGACCATGAACGCACGAGATGACGCAAACTGAAACGGGTACTGTCCGCCCGGCTAGCTCAGTCGGTAGAGCATGAGACTTTTAATCTCAGGGTCGTGGGTTCGAGCCCCACGTTGGGCGCTGCATTTTTTACTGATCTGTTCCCATGTTACACGGATTGTTTTCCAGTCTTCTTTCGCCTTCCTCTCTTTCGCTCTGTGACTTAAGCTTTCTGACCATGAACGCACGGGATGACGAAAACTGAAACGGGTGCTGTCTGCCCGACT